TGGGTCCTCATTCTACTGATCTCAGAAGGACAGGAAACTGAGTCAACCTTGAGCTCCATCAAAATCGAACTCTTGGCTGTGGGCAAAATCAGCCTGTAATACTGCATTCTAATCACTGCACCACCAGGGCTCTGGTAATGTAACAATGACTTGGTAAACAAGGACCAAGGAAGTTGTGAATTTGATTTAGATGGAAAGAGCAGCCAAAAACTCTTGACATATAGGTCAGTTGGAAAAAAAAATGTACGGTGATTTTCCTTGATAAGTAAGTAAGTCTTGTTGGCTGCTTTCCTGACAGTAGAACTCACTGAATGTAATAAGACTCATTTCTAAGTCAGATGGCACGATGGATGAGAAGTAAATATTTTACTTATTTCTAAACGGCTGCGTGCATTGACAGAGGTAAATGAAATTTCACCAACCACCAGAAGATTTGGCTTGAAAGTTTTTCCTTCTTGCCAGATACAACCTTATCTTGACATCTGCCAGGCTCAACTAATTCAGCAATGAAAGGAAGTAGAAGAGCATGATAAAATGCTTAGATATAAGTCTGGACCAAGAGTTAGCTTCAGCCAACAAGAAAATAATTAATTGTCTGCATTTGTTTTTTTTAATCAAGGCAAGTTGTGGAAGATTTATAAGCATCTGATTGTATGTCATCTCTTTTGCCTTTGTAAAGAACTCTGGCCAACAAAATATAGTTCATTTTTCAAGCAATATGGCCAATGATATATTTATCTCATTATGGTCTGGTCTGCAATGCAGCTTCCTGCTTTATTTTCAAGAGTCTTACCAACAGGAAAAACTCAAGAACCAATCTGAATTCATTTATTTATTTTATTTTATTTATTTATTTTGTCAATTGCTTACAAGATAATCAGTATAAGTAAAAACATAGTTATGAATACATGGATACATATAAGAAAAATAAAAAAATAAAAGAAACAATAGGACAGGGACAGTAGGCACATTGGTGTGCTAATGCACGCCCCCTACAGACCTCTTAGGAAAGGGGTGAGGTCAATAGTCGACAGTCTAAGGTTAAAGTTTTTGGGGTTTGGGGAAGAAACCACAGAGTCAGGAAGAGTATTCCAGACATTGACCACTCTGTTGCTGAAGTTGTATTTCCTGCAATCAAGTTTGGTGTGATTAACCTTGAGTTTGTATCTATTGTTTGCTCTTGTGTTGTTATGGCTGAAGCTGAAGTATTCATTGACAGGTAGGACATAGCAATGTATGATTTTATATACTATACTTAGATCGGACCGAAGGCGGGGTAGTTCTAGGTTTTCTAGGTCTAGAATTTCAAGTCTGGTGGCATAAGGTATTCTGCAACAAGTAGAGGAGTGGAGAACTCTTCTTGTGAAATATTTCTGGATTTTCTCAACTGTGCTAATATCAGATACGTAATGTGGGTTCCAGACTGATGAGCTGTATTCGAGTATTGGTCTAGCAAATGTTTTGTATGCTCTAGTTATTAGTGTAATATTACCAGAGAAAAAGCTACGTAATATTAGGTTAACAACTCTTAATGCCTTTTTGGGTATGTAGTTACAGTGAGCTCTAGCACTTAGATCATTAGAGATGAGTATTCCAAGGTCCTTTACAGAGCTTGGATCATCAACAAGTTCTTGACTATTCAGCCTGTATTTTATTTTCTGATATTTTTTTTTGCCAATATGTAGGACAGAGCATTTATTTGTTGAGATTTGAAGTTGCCATTTGTTTGAACATTCTGATACATAGTCAAGGTCTTTTTGAAGGGTAGCAGTATTGTCTGTGGTGTTGAATAGCTTTACATCATCAGCAAAGAGAATGCAGTTGCTCTTGATATGATCACAAAGGTCAATTATGTAGAGTATAAAAAGAGTTGGTCCTAGAACACTGCCTGGGGGGACACCACTGTTGACAGGTACAGAATTTGATAGGACACTAAGAACGATGCATCGTTACAAAGAGACAGGCCTGCTTTGTATTTGGAATTCTAAAAGCTTAAGCTGGGAAGTTGGAAAAAACTTTTCCAAAAAAGACAATAATGAAGAATTGTGGCCAGGAAATCTACAGAAAGGGATGGTGAGGGATGGTGCCTACAGAGGAGGAGGTGTTGTGGTGGGCACTCCGCTAGAGAAAAATTAGCTGAAGATGGACTCCAGCATGAGTCCAAAAGCTTGGAAGAATAAACCTCTGATTCCAGTGACCGACCCAGATTGAATCTTGAAATATTTTCCTACAGAAAAACCCACAGTTTCCCAGGAAGGAGGGAGCCTATTCATAAGAGTGGGTGGAGAGAAAAGACAATCCAGCCCAGAGATGGAGAGGAGACAAAGGAAGAAATTTAAGATAACCATTCTTTAGAGTGTATTTATTGGGATAAGAGTGGTAAAAGTTTAGTCTGGCAAGATTCTGTCTACTGGATCTAAGGAGATGAAGAAGTGAGCTTTAGCTGGGTTGTTCTGTGTCCTTCTTGGGTTGGATTTGACATGTATTCATGTAGCCAGAAGGTTGTGTCCACAGTTTGCAGGCCCCAAGCAATTGTCACAACCAAAAATGTTCCATTTGACTGAAAAGGTGTGTAAGTATATCTTGAAGTAAAAGTATGCCTATATATAAAATTATATATTATCAATGGAACATCTCCAGAAGGTGTGGGTCCTCCAACACTGGAGGTTTTTAAGAAGAGATTGGATAACAGGGTTTGATAGGATTATAGGGTTTCCTGCTTCAGTAGGAAGGTTGGACTAGAAGACCTCCAAGGTCCCTTCCAACTCTATTATCCTGTTAAGCTTACATTCTCTTCCGGGAATTGGTTATCACTCTAGACCTAGTCAATTGTATCACAATTGGCAAAAGAAAAAGAAACTATCACTTTCTTCAATTTACCTATGTTTTTAGAGAAGCTTTAGAATAATTAAAATCAAAACAGAAAACCCTCAAAGGTATTACTCACGGTTACCAAACTCTTTAAATGCTACACCTGCCATTACACATAAAATAACATTCAACTACTAATTGGGGGGGAAAAGAACAAAAACAAACATTTTAACATCACCCTTATTGGCAAAGAATTCCTTTGGGACAGAAATGGCTGAATGGTATATTTACAAATGCATTTATTCATTTAGAAAATGTATATAGTTGCCTACTCACAGCTCCTCTGATTACAACCCATTGCTTTGTTCGAATTGTACTATATTCTGCAGTGGAGGAGGAAGAGGAGAGAGAAAAGGGAAGGTAGAATATTGTAGATTTATCTATTTTAAGAATTGGAAGGGAGATTGTAGAATTTCTAATCCTGTCCTCTTCCTAAGGAAGGAATTCACTTCTTCTACATCGTCCAAGGATGTCAACACATATTCTGATAAAATGCCTCCAGTTAAGGAAACTGCATCACCCAGTCTTGAATAGAAATTAAAGACCATCCTGTGATTGTTAGAGCATTATCATAAAACTGCACGGCCATGCCATGTGGGGGAAATTGACTGGAGAAAGATATTATGTTTGGAAAAGTTAGCCTCCTAAATATGTTTTTTCAAAAAGGCAACTGGGCTTTATTTTTCCTTGAAGATGTGTTGCTTCTCATCCAAGAAGCTTTTTCAGTTCTGACTGGATGGTGGAGAATGGAAGGATTTATATTCCTTGCGGCCATCTGGTCGTTAGCACTTCTATTCTCCACCATTCAGAACAGAAGAAGCTTCTGCAACAGTTAGTTTCCAGATGTCCTTCAAGCGAAATGTTTTCTTCCGTGCAAAATAGGAGTTCATTTAGGGATGAAAATTTAAGGCTGTGTTCCAATTTCTCTCGTTCTTTTCAGGTTTTCTAATTTCCCTCCCCAAATAGGACACTGTTTAAAAAAGGGTCTAGATTACAATTAAAAAAAAACCCAAACAACCACAGGCTGTAGCTCTATGAATCATAATAAGAAATTTATTTTAACACTGGAGGACAACGTTTGAATTAAACAGAGTAATGGAGAAAATGGTGTCATTGGCAGATAAATTGAATGACGATGCGTTCAACTTTTGATAGGCTCAGCAACAACAGTAGCAAAAGAAGCATATTCTCTTTGGAAACATACATCCCTCAGCGAAACAAGGTAAGAGGATTGAGGAAGCAAAGCTTGCTAGATAAACTAGTAAAAGCAATAGCAACTTAGACTTATATACTGCTTCTCAGTGCTTTTACAGCCCTCTCTACACAGTTTACAGAGTCAGCATGTGGCCCCCAACAATCTGGAAGGACCTTGGAAGGATGGAAGGCTGAGTCAACCTTGAGCTGGTGAGAATCAAACTGCTGGTAGCGAGCAGAGTTAGCCTGCAATACCGCATTCTCACCACTGGCGCCACTACGGCTCTTTAAGGCTAAAGGCTAAGCTTAGAAAAACGAGGAAACACGTTAAAACTTGGTTTGCTGTCCCAATAAAATAAGGACTCTGATAATTTTTCTTGGTTGAATTTTAGAATTTCAGTGAAATAGACCGGAAGCAGCAAAATCAAAACAAGTCTTCTAAGCAGGCACTAACTCTGCTAAAAAAAAAAAAAAGAATACAGGTAGTCCTTCGACTTACGACCACAAACTGAGCCCAACATTTTCATTGCTAAGTGAGACATTCGTGAAATCAGTCCCCCCCATTTTACGGCCTTTCTGCTCTCCGTGGTTAAGTGAATCACTCCAGTTGTTAAGTCAGGAACACGGTTGTTTGGTGATTCTGGCTTCCCCGTAGATTTTGTCGTTGGAAGGTTTGCAAAAAAAAAGGGATCCCAAGACCTCGGGACACTGCAACCGTCATAAATATGAGTCAGTTGCCAAACATCTGAATTTTGGTCATGTGATGATGGGGATGCTGCAAGTGTGGTTGTAAGTGTGAAAAATGGTCATCGGTCCCCTTTTTCAGTGCCGTTGCAACTTTGGTCACTAAACGATCTGTTGTAAGTCGAAGACTACCTGTACACCTGGAGCCATGACAGTTATATCCTTTATCATATTTAATTTAGCTTTATTACCTTCATTCTCTTCCTTTGTCAGAGGAAAGCTTCCTCCATTGGAAGAAGGGAATCTTTGGATCCAACCCATTAGATTAAGATCTGTATGGGGAGAGGAAATTGACCATTCAGGTCTACAGATTGATGGTCCTTATAGCATTTATCCAGATACTATCAATTCCTGGAATTGTCATTTTTCAACTGGCAACACAGTAGGTTTTACAACACTCATTTTATTCAGATTTTTTTTTTTTCCCACTTAAGCATTCTTAGCATACGGCAAATAATTCAAACAGTTGCAGGAGCTGGTTAAAGATTAAAAGAAATTGTAAGAAGCAGAATATTGCTTTTTTTTTTTTTTGACATATCATCTAAGAGCACTAACAAATTAATAAGGTGCATTCTATTACTAATTCCCATCCGCTACATAATACATATAATGATGAGTTCTCTGAATATATTTTCAGTTTGTGGGAATGCACTAAACTCTAAAAATAAAAGTATAAAATATTCACTTTAAAAAAAACAAGTGCTTTTATCAATTCAAGACACATATCAAAAATAAGAAAAATATGAGAAACAAAATAATTATTTTACACTGTGTATGAGATAAATTGCCCGCCCCCCATAAAGCTGTAATAAAATCCAATCCAATTTAATTATGAAATGTAAAAAGTTACAAGTTTTAGCAGTGTATTAATATAATGTATAACATGCAAGAACATCCTATGTGGTTGACTTTTATCAGCTACTATTACCACGCTAGGCAATAATTTTTTTTGAGCTGGTATTGACATCCTGTTGGAGATACAAGTGAAGTTTTTCTAGATGGATAAAATAATGGATGGAAACTGAACAAGGAGAGATTCAACCTGGAAATAAGGAGAAACTTTCTGACAGAACAATCAACCAATGGAACAGAAGTTGCCCTCGGAAGTTGTGGGAGCTTCATCACTTGAGACTTTCAAGAAGAGATTGGACTGCCATTTGTCAGAAATGGTATAGAGTCTCCCACTTGGGCGGGGGGTTGGACTAGATGACCTACAAGGTCCCTTCCAACTCTGATTATCTGTTATTTCGAAACATATTCACTACTGTTTTTAATATAAGCTGTGTTAGGCTAAATTGTGGAAAGGAAGAGAAGAGCAAGAGGAGTGTTGTGGCCCGCCAGATTCAAACAGTGAGGAGGTTGGGGAGGAACATGGGCCAGCCCTGGAGTCTGGGGAAGGCTCAGACAAGTGCTCTGCATCAGAGGCAGAGATGGGGCCCGGGCCGTCTGACAGTTATCAGCTGCCTTCAGAGTTGGACATCAGTGGGGCAGAAGAACAGCTGGAGTCTGTTCCCAGTGTGCGCATGCACAGAGCTGCCAGATGAAGGGAACAGCTAAGGAACAAGGGTCGACTCGGGAGTAAGCAAGCCACAAGTGGATGGTGAATTACCCTCCCATAGAGAATAAAAGAGGAACGAAAGGGGAGTGGGGTTTTGCAGGAGACAATTAGTTCATTTTGGGTGAAGATCTGTTCCTGCATTCTTAAGTATTGTGGTGTCTGAAAGATATTGGCCTGGCACATTTCCAAGCCTGATAAAGGTTTGTAATTGTGAACTATCTTGAAAGACTGTTGGCTGGGACTTTGCTGGAGAGGAATTCACTGTAAATTAAATAAAAGGGGTTTATCGGGATGAGGACTCAGCTTTGCGCTGTTGGGGAAGCCTAGGTCAGAACAAGTAGTAACAAAATACACTAGGTGATAGATGGAGCTTCAGACATGCTGAAGGACCAGATCAAGGACAGATCTTCCTGAAGAAACTCATATCTATGTGGTCATTAAGAAATAAACAATTTAATCAAAACCAGGTATAAATTATTCTGGAACATTCTGAAGGAACAGGGCAATGGATGACCAACATGAATGTGGAAAACAAATATCTAATATCCCACTTCCAAACTTTTGACAAGCAAAAACACTTGAAAGTGGCTTCGAATTGTGTAGGCCTCATTTCATGCCTTGGAATTTGTAAATCGTTAGCTGGGCTATCAGCTCATGAATAAAATGGGGGGAAAAGTGGACATATGTGTTGTGAGATTAACAAAAAAAAACTACTTCTAAGCAATTTAACATTATGTCTGAGGTTATCCTACAATAGGTTTACAACCAGCCTTTTATGTCTGGGGGAGAACTGTCACAAAAATTATCGGTATCCCCTTTAAAAGGAAAGAAATAATGAAACTGATGGAAAAATTAACTAGCAGATAGTGGAAACTGCATTGCATTTAACCTTTATTTAAAGGCTGAAAGAAAAACATATTTGATTAAAACTGACAGCATTTGGAAAAGAACATTTGAAAGGACAAAGGTTACTTTTAAATGTTCCAGTTGATAATTATATCATACACCCAAATTGTACATTTTAACTTATTCTGTTATCTGAGATTGTCATGGGCCAAAGCAGAAAGAAAACAGAAAAAACTCACTTTGCGAACCTATGAAAATAATCAGTCCTATCAACAGATAAATAAACACCCCCAGTTGGAAGTGTCACTTTTCATGTTTCTTGCTACTACCTCACTGTTGTCAGGTGCAAAGAATCAGGACTACACATTAAGTTCCAGTTAAGCTGATTTTATGCCTACACACAATAATTTAGTCAACTAATGGTCAACATTAAATTGGTGCTAGATAAGAGTCAACAGAACACAAGAAGGGATGGATGTAATGACTCTTGGCTGATTCCTCTCTTGACTCCACCTTCAGTCTTTGCCTAACCTTCTCCTACACTGTTGATTCTTTGCTTTTTGCTTTCATTCATTTTAGGAGGTCTGAAAGGGAGCAGTTGCTCTTTTCAAGAGATTGAGAAGTGTACAAAAGCATGCTCCTAAAGCAGGAAGTACAGAAGAGGTCATCATATCAGATATTCTCCAACAATGTGCTGAAGACAGGAGGGAACGAAGAGAGGACAAGATAAAATAGGGACATCTGCCATGACACCGTCCATCTCATGCCAGCACTATCTGAATAAAATGCCCCTTGTAATAGTTTAATTATATATATCTCACAGTCTGGTTTGAATACATAGTGGAAAAAAGAGTTTGCAGAGTTAACAATATGGTATATATATGTATGTGTGTGTGTGTGTGTGTGTGTCTGTCTGTCTGTCTGTCTCTGTGTGTTTACGCATGTATATATGTATGTACACATGTATGTACATGTATATATGTGTATGTATGTGTATATGTATGTGTGTGTATATATATATATATTTATATATATGTGTGTGTGTCTATGTGTGTGTGTGTGTGTGTGTGTGTGTGTGTACACACACACATATACATAAACACACCTGCACAGACGCATATATAGTATATGTATATATATGGGGATATATATGTGTATATTTTCTTTTGAAAGCGAGTATCAGAATTCCATTTCTAAATGCATGCCAGTGTGTTCACAGAAAAAAAAAAGTGACGATAAAGGTTATCTTATCTTTGCTACAAATGAAAAGGTATCAAGGTAATCAGAAAGAAGACAGAGCAAATAAGGCAACTGTTTGTTATTAAAAAAAAACCACTTAATTAGCAAGCCCTCAAGTATTTTTTTTTTAGATTCAGGCTAATCCCCATTAGGTTCTACTTCATTTCTGAGAAGAGCTGAACCTTAAAATGTCTGTTTGACTTGGAGCCCATCTCAAGAGCATCATTCTGCTTTATAAGCCAAGCTAGTCTGTATTCATTAATGTTATATAATTAAGCAGAATCTTGGCAGAGCTATGGAAAAAAACATTAGAATACAATGCATGGTAGAATTAAATTACTTATGTGGTATTCAATGGTTTTTCTCCCCGACCCCCAATATATTTCTCACAAAGTCTGTAGAGGGCTTTATAAATATCCAAGACTGCACCAGCATACCGAGGAGTAATAGTAGATAATCCAGTATTCAATAAACTTCAATAAACTTTAAATTCCTTTCTATGATCATAACTATAACTTTTCCCTTTTGGCGTAAGTTATATTGTGAAGAGTGCAGAAAAGGAATAAGGAGGAACAAGCCAGTGAAATTCATGGAAGGAGGGAAGAAAAAGAAAATATAGTAAAAACATAGCTCAGGTTCACTTGGTGCTCAATTCATTATTTCTCACCACATTCTTCTTCTTCTTCCTTTACTACCCCTACTTCTTACGTAACTCATTCCTACTACATTTAAGTCACTTTCATATTCGTCTTGACATACCCAGTTCTCCCATTCCTATAACAAGGTAGACAGAAGTATACTCTTACAGGAGCAATTTCACTTCTTTCAACAAGTATTTTATATATACCAGTGGTGGATAATCTTTTTGGGCTCCTGTGCCAAAAATTGGGTGCACGCTTGCATGCTCACACTCACATGCCATCACCCAGAAGGCAATGTGCGATCCCCCCACACCCCCTACACATGCGTGTGCAATCCCCACCCACCCCCACTTCCCCTTACCTGCACTGTGCCTCACAGCTGATTTTCGGTCGGTTTGAGGCCTATTTCGGCCTCCCAGAGGCTTGAGGAAGGCTTCTGCAGGCTTTGCAGGCCGAAAACTAGGTCCGTTTCATCATTTCTGGTAGTTTCGGAAAAACAAGAAGTGACAAAAAGGACCTAGTTTTCGGCCTGCAAAGCCTGCAGAAGCCTTTCTCAAAAAGGCCTCAAACCAGCTGAAAATCAGCTGTGACGCGTGCACTTGCACAGTGAGGTAAGTTTGCCTGCAGCTCGCATGCCGGCACATATGGCTCTGCCTGCCACCTGTGGCACGCATGCCATAGGTTTGCCATCACAGATATATATAATACTTGTTCTCCAGTTATACCATCTACATCTGCAGCCTTACCCTTGTTCAACATTTCCACAGCATTTGTGATTTCAAACCATTCACTCACTCACTCACTGACTCATCCATCCATCCATCCATCCATCCATCCATCCATCCATTCAGTTTAGGTGCTGCCTGACTCCAATTATCTCTGGGCAGCTCAAAACCAAACCAAAATATGATGGGATCTGGTCATTTTACAGAGGCATAAAGAAAAACAACAAAGAGACACTGAAGAAGCGCAGCCTATCCATTTCAAC